TCCAAGAGTTGCTGTAACAATGAACTAAAACTGAGTGGCTTAGAACCACAGAAATTTATTATCTTAACAGTTCTGGGACACAGAAGCAGGGTTTCAAGGAGTCAGCAGAGCCATGATTCCTCCAAGGCTCTAGGGAAAGAATACTCCCTAGCCTCCTATAGCTTCTCGTGGTTTCTAATAATCCCTGCTGTTTTGGGGCTTGTACATACACCACTCCAATCTCTGCCTGCACCATCATAGCACCTTCTCTCCAGTGTGTCTGTGTCTCTGCTTCTTTACATGGCCTTCACCCTATGAGTCTGTGATCAAATTTCCCATTTCTTAAAAGAATATTAATCATTGGATTAGGACCCATCCCAACCCACCTACTTCATCTTAACTTGACCATCTGCAAAGGCCCTATTTCCAAAGAAGGTCACATTAACAGGTTCCTGGCAGACATGAATTTGGAGAGCCAGTATTCACTTCAGTACAGCCATGGTGTATAATTTTTCATGCATAGTTTTATTTGATTTGCCATTTTGTTGAGGATTTTTGCATATTTGTTCCTGAAAAATATTGGTCTCTAGTGAAATGGCTTTATCTGCTTTTGGTGATAAGTGGTATTTCTTTCTTTTATTTTTTGTTAGTCCTCACTTGAGGATATTTATTCCAATGATTTTTAGAGAGTGAACAGGAGAGAGGGAAGGAGATGGGGGGAAGAGAGAGAGAGAGAGAGAGAGAGAGAAAGAAATATGGATGTGAGAGAGACACTTCTATTGGTTACCTCCCGCACGCTCCCTGACTTCTCATTGACCGGGCAGGGGAATGAAGCTGCAACCTAGGTACATGCCCTTGACTGGAATTGAACCCCTGACCCTTGCAGGGGGGTGGGGAAGTGGGAGGGGAAGGAAGTGGGCAGTGATGCTCTAACCAATGAAGCCAGAGCAAGTGATATTTTAATTTTCATTTCCATAACAATTGATATTAAGCTCTTTTCTGTGCTTCTTGTCTATTGTGTATGCTCTTTGGAGAAATGTCTATTCAAATGTTTGCCTAATTTATTTATTTTTTATATTTTTATTGACGTCAGAGAGGGAGGGAGGGGGAGAGAGAGATAGAAACTTCAATGATGAGAGAGAATCATTGATTGGCTGCCTCCTGCATGCCCCCCACTAGGAACTGAGCCTGCAACCTGGGCATGTGCCCTGATCATGGAATCAAACTGTGACCTCCTGGTTCATAGGTCAATGCTCAACCACTGAGCCATGCTGGCCAGGCTGTTTGCCAATTTAAAAATGGGTTGTTACTTTCTTTGAAGTAGTTTTTACACCCTGCAGCTTCACTACTATGTTAATGTGAAAACAATCTACCAGTCCCTAGAGGGGGCAGAACAAGTTCAAGGCATTTAAAGAAATATTTGTGTAGTCATTAGCTGAGTAAGGTTAAGCACAGGGAGATTTCAGTGGCTATGCACAGTTCAGACTACAGAGATCACAGAATCAGGCCAAGAAACTCAACAAACAAGTAAGACTCAACAATTCTTGGGAGCAGAGATATAATTTACAGAGTTGCCACATTATACTAAAAATGTCCAGTTTCCAATAAAAATTTTTGAGGCACGCCAACAAAGTATAGTCCATACACATGAAAAAAAAAAATTGTCCCCAATATTAGTTTTACTAGACAAGTACTCTAAACCAACTATTTTATTTAATGTATTTATTTATTTTATTTTTGCTAATCCTTTCTTTATTCCCTCCATGAGTGTGTACTCACACTCAACATGAGTGGGGTCAAGGAAAGTCTTGTTAGATATTTTCCCCTTCTCTATGGATTCTAGAGAAGGGGATGGGGTGGGAAGAATGCAGATATAACAATAACTTTTCTAGTCCTTTGAAAATGTCTTTCACTAGCTAAACCAACCAGAAGCCAGGCAAGAAAGCCAATGATATAATCAGTATGGACCAACCTTCCAGTCACAGAGCAGGGTGAGAAGAGGTTAAGAGGAGATCTAGAAGAGCAAATAGAAAAAATTTCATAGTTTATCTCCAAAACAAAAATCACTGACTATGTTCTAAAGGTTAAGAAAAAAGAAAAAAAAAGTTTAAGAAATTCAAGAATAATGATCAGAGAAAAGTATGAGGCAGAATAGCAAAAAGCTAGGAATATTCCTTGGCAAGTGGAATGGGGAAACTGAGATAGCCGAACAAACTGGGGGAACAATTTACAGCCAGATCCAGGTCACTAGGGTGGAAAGCCCCGGGTGCCTACCAACAGACCAAACTGGATCCAGATCTTGTCCCCAGATGGCCTTTCCTCCCCTGGCATAAAAAAAAGAAAAAGAAAAAAAAAGACACATAAAAAAACAAAAAACTGGCAAAACCACGATACTTTTCGTTGTTTTTCTCCACATGAGTATAACACTCTCTCCTACCTGATGCAGTGGTTCTTGGATCAGGACTACAACTGCAGGTGTCAGAAGCTGGGCATGTACTCATTTGCTAGAGCTGCTGTAATGAAGTACCACAAACTGGGTGGCTTAAACAAAGAAATGTACCATCACCTAGGCCTGGAGGTTAGAAGTCCAAACTCAAGGCGTTGGTAGGTTTGGTTCCTTCTGAAGCTTGTGAGAGTCTTTTCAGACTCCCTCCTAGCTCCTGGTTGCCGCAGGTGTTCCTTAGCTTGTAGACTGTGATCTCACTGTGCCTTACATTGTCTTTATTCTATGTGTGTTTGTCTCTGTGTCAAAATCTCTCTTCGTAAGAACATAGTCATATGGATTAGGGCCCTCTCTAATGACCTCATCTTAATTGGATCATCTGTAAAGACCCTAATTCCAAATAAGGTTACATTCACTGGTAGGACTTCAACATCTTTTGGGGTGGGGGCACAATTCAACCCACAACAATCTCTAAACTAGAAACTATCTATACTAATAAAAGGGTAATATGCTAATTAGACTGGACATCTTCCAGACATCCTTCCGGACAAATCCATGGTGGCAGGGGCAAGGCAGAGGCAGTTAGGGGCAACCAGGCTGGCAAGGGAGGGCAGTTAGGGGCAACTGGGCCGGCAGGGGAGGGCAGTTAGGGGCGACCAGGCCGGCAGGCAGAGGAGGTTAGGAGCGATCAGGCAGGCAGGGGAAAAGTTAGGGGTGATCAGGCCAGCAGGGGAGCAGTTAGGGACGATCAGGTAGGGAAGCAGGGGCAGTTAGGGGTGATCAGGCAGGCAGGCAGAGAGGTCAGGAGTGATCAGGCAGGCAGGCAGAGGTGGTTAGGGGCAATCAGGCAGGCAGGGGAGCAGTTAGGGGCGATCAGACCAGCAGGAGAGCAGTTAGGGGAGATCAAGCAAGCAGGCAGAGAAGTTAGGGACAATTAGGCAAGCAGGTGAGCAGTTAGGAGCGAGCGGTCCTGGACTGCGAGAGGGATGTCCGACTGCTGTTTTAGGCCCAATCCCACAGTTGGACATCCCCTAAGGGGTCCTGGATTGGAGAGGGTGCAGGCCAAGTAAGGGACCCCCCCTCCTCGCTCCGTGCATGAATTTCGTGCACTGAGCCTCTAGTATTTTAAAATATCTATGTTAGAGTTCCTAAGGGCCTGATGGTGTTTTCACCTTCTCTGGCAAAACTGAGGTTTGCTGGGTCTCCAAATGTTAGTAATATTCAGAATGAAACTACTCAACAAATAGAATGCAGTGGAACTGATACTGCATGACTTTCCAGGTTGAGGTATAAAAGGTGACATGACTTGCACCTGTTCTTTCAGTTTCTTGGAACACTCATGGCTTGAACCCAGATATTCGGCTAAGTAAGTCCAAATTAGCAGATGTGGAAAGACCACAGGAGGAGGCCCACATGGAGAGGGACTGGAGCCCACTAGGCCCTGTCCAACTGCCTGACCATGAATGCCATAAATGCTCACTGCATGTCACTAAGTTTTACAGTAGTTTGTAACATAGCCATCAATAACCAAACAGTGCTCAAGTAATTTACAACCCAGAGGGAAAGTTACATAAGGATCCAAGTAATTAATATAAGGCAGGATGTGCTAATTACTACACAGAACATAAACTAAAGGCCTTGGGAGAGAAACATATAAAGATATAAGTCTAGCTAAGGGCTGGAGCAGTTGGGGGCAAAGGGAAAGGCAGAACAGAAGTAACTTTCAAGCATGGGCCTACAAGACAGACAGAACTTTGAAGGAAAAGCAATCACAACAAGAAAAAGCGAAGTGTGGTAGAACCTGGTGGCAAAGTGACATATCACATGGACCTCCTTAGAGACAAAAATTCAACTGATTTTCTACATAACCTCCAATCAATCCTAAAACAGTATCAAACTATTTGAGGGACACCATAAGAAATGTTACTCTAAAAAAAACCAAGGTAGAGTTCTAGAGACTGACTTCAATCACATGAAAATTTTAAATTTCTTGCTGGTTAATCTTCATGCAAAGGCTAACTCTGACCTTAGCAAATGAAAGTTACTTTATCAATGCTTCCTTTGATGTATTGGCCAAGGAAAAACCCAGTATTTTGCTTGTTCATTTCCCAGACCCTTTATCAGCTTAATGATAGCAATTCTCCATGGTTAGCATTCCTTTGAGTTCTAGGGGTGATTTAGAGGGAGGCATTTGTCTTGAACCAAAATGAAAAGAGCCAGCAGCGCCTAATGACAGCCATAAAGCTGAGTAAAGTCATATACTACTTTATTGCTGATATTTACTCTGTTTCCCTGATAAGGGCATGAAGTCGATGTCTATAGGCTTCGGGCTGACAACCTGGGAAATAATCATTACTTACCAAACCAATTCAGAGATTTAGCTCTTTAAGCTGCTGTGTACAAGCAGCAGCCTGAAGGCAGTCCTGTTAAGCTACCTGTTCAGCATGACTAACTCTTCAGTCTGTTCAAGAGACTCACCTTCAATGTGGGATTCCCTTCTAAGTCAGACTTCCTCTTAAAATGCTCAGGTAGGCAGTCCTTCAAAATCCCAAAACTTTAGAACTGACATTCTCCTCACCTCATAAAACTTTTTTAAGGAGCCCACGAGGCACAGCTTCAGGCTATCCACAATCTCTTGATGAGGCATCTGGAATACTACTCGTGAATACCATTTTGTGAGGGTGCTAGGATGGAGGCAGTAAGACAGAAAAAGAGAAGAGGATAAACACACTCACAGAGGAAGGCCCACAGGCTGAATGTTAGCCCACACAGGCTTCAACGCACCAATCCAACACCAAGTAGTAAATGCATTTATGTTACATGTAAAAACACAAAGTGATGTGGGGAAAAATATAGGTATAATTGTGAATATTTGCTACAAAACTGCTGCCAGTTGAAAAAGTGGAACAACATAGATACCCATCAACTGAGGACTAGTTAAGTAAATAGTGCTGTGGCATACAATAAACTCCATACAACAGTTAAAGAGAACTTACTTTTATTGATGGGACACTGTCCAAGATACACAGTTTAAGTACAAATATCAAGCTGAGGAAGAGTACACATAGTATTATGCCATTTGTATATACATATATACAGCACGTATGTGTGTTAGTATATGCATAGAAGAGAATATGAAAGTATATATACATCAAACCTTAGGTAATGGTTGAAAGAAGATGAACCATGAAAAACTCACTTTCTAAATTTCTACAGATATTTGCACAACCATGCCTTATTTTTACAATAAAAAATAAATAAATAAAAACTCCCCTCATTTCTGGAGTTAAAAGATAATCTCCGATAAGACACAGTCCTCATTCTGAAGGAGATGCTGTAGCCAGGAAACAAACTTACACATATGACAAGTTTGGTAAATAGACTGTGTAAACTAATTTCACAGGAAGATAGAGGAGGAAGGACTTGACTGTACTTTTATGTATTAGGTAAAAGACAATATACTTTACTATAATATAAAATACTAAAAAAACATTTGCTGTATTTATAATAAGATTAGGTATCAAAATGATGTAACCAGGCGAAATGGCACGATGAAGAGTACTTACAGGTTGATGCTTGCCACGAAGCCAACCACGGAGCGCATTCCTTTGCCAGGATCATGGTAAACATCCATCCCGACTACCATTAACTGTTTCTGTGTTAGAAAACAAAAAACTAATCAAAAAACCCCAAGTGATCCATTCAACCCATATTTAATTATTACTTGAACCTTAAAGCAACATATGAAAATAAATTCTGGGAAATGAAGAGAAAGACCAGGAATCAGCAAATGTTTTCTGTAAACAGCGAAAGAGTGAATGAATGTCTTAGGCTTTGTGAGCCACATGGTCTCTGAAGGAACTATTTAATTCTGCCATCACAGCATGACAGAAGTCACAGATAATACATAAAGAAATATGATATGTTCCAATAACAGTTTATTTAAGGATGCTGACAACTGAACCTCACATAATTTTATTTTTTAATCCTCACCCAAGGATATTTTTCCATTGATTTTTAGAGAGAGGGAAAGACAAGGAGAAATATCAATGTGAGAGAAGCACATTGATTGCTTGCCACCTGCACGAGCCCTAATCAGGGCCCAGGCAAGGGAGGAGCCTGCAACCAATGTACGTGCCCTTGACCGGAATCAAACCCGACCCTTTGGTCTGCAGGCCGACACTCTATCCACTGAGCCAAATCGGCTAGGGAAAACTTCACATAATTTTCATGTGTCAGAAAATATTAGCCTTATTTTTGTTTCACCATTAAAAATTGCAAAAACCATTCTTAGCTCAAGGGCTATACAAAAACAGGCAATGAACCATTTAGACCACTAAGCACTAAAAGTAGGGCTAACTCTATGAGAAAAATAGCTAGGCAGGTTGAACTGAATGAAGACATATAACAGCATCACTCACCAGAGGAATATCTACTCCCCAGAGCTCACCACCCAATTTACAGTTAATCTGCAGTAAAATTTTCTGGGCCACACTCCGAAGTTTGGTGGGCTGACCAATGGTTCGGACATTGATGACCTACAAAAAAGGGTCCAAAAAAAGTATGGGGAAAGAGAACACTATCAACCTCTCAGAAAATGTAAATAATTCAAAGTCTATACTACATTTGTTTTAAAAAACTTCAGTTAGCAGTTAAAACACTTTGCATTAATAGTTCTAATTTTAGAGTTTCTTGGCAGGTGCATGCTGGCACGCACACACACACACACACCTTTCAAAAGATCTCATGCAGAGTAAAATTTTTTTTTCAACCCATATTTAATTATTATTTGAACCTTAAAGCAACATATGAAAATAAATTCATGGGAGAACAGCTTTTCCCTCTTTTTTAAAAAATCCTCACTCAAGGATATGTTTTACTGATTTTAGAGAGGGGGGAGGGGCAGAGAGAGAGAGAGAAATATCGATGTATGAGAGAGACACTGATTGGTTGCCTCCCATATGTGCCCCCATTGGGGATGGAACCCACAACCTAGGTATGTGCCCTGACTGGGAATTGAACTGACCACCTTTCAGTGCATGGAACAGTGCATCAACCCATTGAACCACACTGGCCAAGGCAGCCTTCCCCTCTTTGAGTGAAGCCTGTACTCTCAGAACCCAATCATGTGAAACCACCTAGAGACTCACCCTCGACACAAGCAAAAGCACTCATTGGGAATATGAAAGCAACATTTATGAAGAGCATCTGCTATTCTCCAGGTTACTCTAATCAAGGGCAGGCTTTGTAGGAGGGCATTCACATGCTACCTTCTAATAGTTACTTTAAGTCTTTTTGTACACACATGTATGTATCCCTTTTGTCCAAGCCTCAAGGGAAGCTTGTTTCCATCTCTGCCTCCCGCCCAGCTCCCACTCACCTGCGAAGGCACTGGAGCTTGCACACAGCACAGCTTTTTAATGGCCCCATAGAGATCATCACGTGTGCCCATGATGATGCACACAACCATCTGTATCTTCCCCTTGAGAAGATAAAGTATATGTAAGTTTGGCTTGGGAACTTTGACAAGGCTCCAGTCAGAGGCAGTTTGAGAGTCTGCAAAGCCAAGGCACCTTTAAGGTAGAGAGGGGACTGAAACAAAGATGGTGGACATTCTACCACAGAAATGGGTCCTTGAACCCGAATGTTGGGTCCAGGGGTTCTTTGCATAAACACGTAATATGTTACCAAAAATTATCAAAAGCTGATTCCCTCATTTATTTATTAGGAGACTTAAGATGCCTAGAAAAGGACCAGACTTGAATACATGCAAGGGTTACTTATAATTTGCTATTTTCAATTCTCTGTAATATTTTTACCACTTTCTTTAGTAAACTAAGCACTTTACTAGTATTACATTCATACCACAGAGCTTTAACTGAGGACACATGGAATGCAATACCACAAGAAACAATTCAGGGCCAAATGCAGATGGAAATGAAGCTACTGTCAAATCCCTAAGTAGCACTCACTTGGGCGCGTGCTCTCTCTCTCTCTCTCTGGTTAGAAGAGAGAATGATTTTGCCAGCAGCACATCTCATAACAGCACCCTCTATCCCTCACTGCTTTAGAGATCCATTATTAAAAACAGAGGATCTTTTGCCCAGATGGCGTGGCTCAGTGGTTGAGCATGGACATATGAACCAGAAGGTCTTGGTTCAATTCCCAGTCAGGGCATATGCCCTGATTGCAGGCTCGATCTCCAGTATGGGGTATGCAAGAGGCAACCAATCGATGATTATCTCTCATCATTGATGTTTCTATCTCTTTCCCCTCTCGCTTTCTCTCTCAAATCAATAAAAGTACATTTCAAAAAACGCAGAGGATCTTTCAAAGTCTGAATAAAGAAAAGTAGCACTCCAGTGAAATAAATTTGCCAATCCTTTATAGCAGAAATGGCTATAAATGGTGAATCAATACTATTCTATTCCAAATCAAGATTCGTGTTAGATTAAGACTTCTCGCCCTAACTGGTTTGGCTCAGTGGATAGAGCGTCAGCCTGCGGACTGAAGGGCCCCAGGTTCGATTCCAGTCAAGGACATGTACCTTGGCTGCGGTCACATCCCCAGTGGGGGGTGTGCAAGAGGCGGCTGATCAATGTTTCTCTCTCATCGATGATTCTAACTCTCTATCCCTCTCCCTTCCTCTCTGTAAAAAATCAATAAAACATATATTAAAAAAAAAAGACTTCTCAGAGGACGTTCTAGCCACACATCACATCAAAGAACTTCCAAAGTCATGTAGAACACAGGCTGCACATAGGGAGCCTATGGGCTGAATCTAGCCAATAGATGTAGTTTTTCAGTCCTTATAATGATTTGTAAGTTTTCATGTTATTAACATTTAAACATAGGGAGATGCACACATATGCAAATCTAGGTTTTTGGCTTCTACTGAAAACAAATTAAAGATCAATTTGACAATGCTGGGCTTTTTTTTATCTGCAGTTATGGGGTTTACTCTTTTTGGTTCATTACAGTCCCCTCCTGGCCCACTCCACTCATCTGTGTTACTCATCTGGCTCCAGTAGACATCTGAGTTTGTGACCTCTAACAAAGAGAATAATAAAACAATGCCATAAAGATTACAGAGAGACAGTAAGACCAATATGAGTTAAATCGGGTAAACACTATGAATGAAACGCAGATCCATGCTGCATGAAAGCTGTTGGCAATACACACTCAGCAAGAGAGCACGAGAAGTTGTGAAATGAGGGAGTTGATGTACTAAACTAGGGTGGGTTTTGTTTTTTTTTTTGGTTGTTTTTTTTTTAAAGCAGAGCAGACTTTATCAACCATCAGGCCTGGGGGGAGGGAGGCCACAGCAGAGTACATAGGCATGGAAAGTCAGGAGGAAATGAATATAATTCTAGTATTAATCCCACAAGAACCGATCTTCAAGGACTAATTACTGCCAAAATCTTTCCTCTGCTTTTGTTTCCTCCTTGATATTCTTCCTGTTTTATGTACATACAGATAAGAACTGCAGGCCTGAACTACTGAGATGGGAGGACTATGACCTGCTCAGCTCTAGTGATCCTGGTCCACTATCAGCATGGAGCTAACGGGCCATCTGCCAAGTTCATCACCAGAGCAATTTGGCTCTAGAGCCATACCAGACTGGAACAGCTCAGTATTGAATCGTGCAAGATGGCACCTGGGCCAAGAAGTTGCTTTCTAAGCACAACATGTTCTATATAGATAACGAACTAAAGTTAAGTCAGCTACTCTGAGTCAATTATGTGATGAACAGAACACTAGAGTGAGTGAGAGTGTCAACATAAAATAAGAAAAGCAAAATTAACTGAAGGACATAAAAGCTATTTTCTCTTCTTTCTTTTTTTACTGATTTTCTTTTTCTTTCTTTTTTTTTTTTTAGAAAGAAAAGGAGAGGGAGAGAAACATAGACGTGAAAGCAAAACATGGATCAGCTGCCTCCTGCATGCCCCCTACCAGGGGTCAAACCTGCACTCGAACCAGCAACCTTTTGGTGCACGGGACAACATCCAACCAACTGAGCCACACCAGTCAGGGCAAGACTATTTTCTTAGTTCAGTATTTCATGTGCAGATAAATAAGACACAGGTTTCTGAACAGCATCAACAGCTAATTGATAACCCAGGTTATTTAAAATCAAGTATTCAAAGTGTTTTAGAACATTCATCCTATAAATCTACTCAAATTAAATTAATTTATTACCTCAGCTCTCAACATGGATTGAATGGTTCTGACATAGGTCTCTATTCGATCGTCCTTTAGTTCAACCCAGGCCGGAGGGCTCATGCGCATGCCAATGGGGCCAGCTACCTTCTCTAACATGTTAACCAGTTCTTGGGCCTGGTCCATTGCCCTCTTTGGGTAAAAGAGTGCCCAGAAATGCATGGGGACCTAGGAAGAACCACAAGCTACTTTTAGTACTTCCCATAACTTGAACACTCCAGACTTATATCTCGAAAATGTTAATAGAAAATAAATTGCTTTTTACTCTCTCAGCTTGAGTCCTGCCTTACCTACTTCCTATTACTAACACAGATGGGTGTGATAAGTAAATTGGGGCACAGAATACTATAATATACAGCAATGAGAATTGTAGCTCTACAACCATACCTAATAATAGGGTAAAACTCACTAATACAAGGTTGAAGAAATAAAGCTGGACATACAAGAATGTTTACTGTATGATTTCAAACAGCTGAAACAAATCTATGTTGTGAGAAGCCAGGGTAGTGGCTATTCTTGGAGTGTGTAAGGTGAGAAGTGGATAGTAACTAGGAGCATGGATGGGTGCTTCAGGGCACTGGTAAAGTTGTGTTTCTTAACCCTTGGTGTGGATCATTCAGGTCTATTTAATTTGTGAAAATTCATCAGCTATACACTTGAAAGTGTAGTTTTTTCTTTAAATATATTATATTTCAATGAAAAGTTTTAGAAACAGATGTGTACTTTTTGTGTGGCTATAAAGACCAAGTTAGCGGAAACATTTCAAAATAATTATATACCATTTTGTTCTTTGGTTATCTTAGTAGGAAATTTTTAATTTTGCTTGTTTCACGAATGAAAACCCCTTCCAGGAACCCCAGGGAAAAAGAGGGGGAGGGAAGAAAGGAAGAGTGAGTGGTAGGCTGGCGCTATATGCAATTTATTTTCTTTTCCTAAATCCATGATAAAACAAAGGGCTTACCTCTAACAACTTATCTAACAAAATAGCTTACTCTCTTTGAAGGACTCTGTTTAGTAGATAATTAAGAATGGGAATTCAGCTGAAACTTTCTCTCAAAAAGAGGACACTAGACCAGCCGTGGGCAAACTATGGCCCGCGGGCCGGATCCGGCCCGTTCGGCTGTTCTATCCGGCCTGTGGAGCTGAAAGAGCGGAGGGTTCTCTTGCTCTCCCCTCTGCTCCTTCACCAGCAGCAGTGTTAACATGGCAACGTCGGGAAACACGGCCGCAGCTCCTTCTTCTGAGTCCAGTTTAAGAACCCATTGTGGCCCTCGAGTCAAAAAGTTTGCCCACCCCTGCACTAGACCATTCCTCCTTCCTAATTTCCACCATTTTAGGAATACTGGTCTTCTCTTTACCACCCTGAAAATCACTCACAGTCAAGATGGGAAGGTCTCTGGTTATTTCCTTAATCCAATTTACTTCCTGAGATGTGATAAATGAAGTATTTCTTAAGTTAATTCTTTCCATTGGCAGAACACGTCCTTCAATCTAAACAGAAAAGAAAGTACCTATGACATGAGCCATCTGCAAACACTATTTAGGAAAACACTAACATTATTCTCTCTGGGGTCTGGTCAGCTCCACAACATAAACTTGCCCGTTACAACTTCTGGAAATGGCAGAAAAATGAAACTGCTAGCAGTGGGGGTCCATGTCAATAAAAACCCTGGACATATGCAGGTAAAATTTTTACAGGCACTGCTCTTTAGTTATTGAAGCTTCCAACATGGTTTCCTAATAAAGGGATTAGAAAACATTATATTTTTAGAAGCAGAGAATGCATGTAAAACAACTATAATTTTAAAGTGAACAGGAGCATAATATTAAAATATATTTTAAGGGGAAAATTGAAAGTAGAAAATTAAAGGTAAAGCCCAGCCAGCATGGCTCAGTGGTTGAGTGACCTATGAACCAGAAGGTCGCAGGTTCGATTCCCAGTCAGGGCACATGCCCAGGTTGCAGGCTTGATCCCTAGTGTGGGTCATGCAGGAGGCAGCCAATCAATGATTCTCTCTCATTATTGATGTTTCTATTTCTCTCTCCCTTTCTGAAATTAATAAAAATATATTTTATTTATTTATTTATTTATTTTTTAAATATATTTTTATTGATTTTTTTACAGAGAGGAAGGGAGAGAGATAGAGAGTTAGAAACATCGATGAGAGAGAAACATCGATCAGCTGCCTCCTGCACATCTTCTACTGGGGATGTGCCCGCAACCCAAGTACATGCCCTAGACCGGAATCGAACCTGGGACCTTTCAGTCCGCAGGCCGACGCTCTATCCACTGAGCCAAACCGGTTTCGGCAATAAAAATATATTTTAAAAAAAGAAAAATTAAAGGTAAAGTTTCTTAATAATGATGAATATAATCTACTATTCTACTTTATACAAAGAAAAAGCTGAAAGGAAAAGGCATAAACATAATGAAAGAACAAATTAAAGTGAAGAATAACAAATCAGTTTCACCTAAATATCCCTAAATAGGAAGATAATTAGGTTGATGATATATCAGTATGATGGACTATTTTGCAATCTTTAAAATCACTTTTTAACTACATGTAATATAATCCTGTTTTTGCAAAAAAATAAATAAATAAAGTGCAAGATACACACCATAGAAAATCGAATGAGTCCACACTCAGTAGTGATTATCTCTAGGGAAGTGTTTTTATGGGGGATTTTTACTTCGTATAACCTTTACTGTTTACTTTTTTTTTTAAGAATGTATTTTATCTATGATTAAAAAAAAATTAATTTTGAACACAATGAATAACAATACTACTATTAGCAAGAGTGTAAAGAACCAGACTCATCTTATGCTTATGAAAGTAATTTGGACTGGAAAACTGAAAATTAGATAAAATTTAAGTTAATATTCCTTTGCTACCTAACTGACTAGAAATTAACAGCAAGAACTCCAAAATAAAGATAAGATAGGAAGCTATCACTTAGTCTCACAAAGTTCTGAAATCCTTGTTTTCCTACCCTGTCACATCTTCTGGGTTACCTTATGTACATCATCCTGCAGATAGAGTCCCCAACGTGTTAGTTCATTACTGGCTGTCTCATTCTTTGAAATTCTCTGTATCAAGCATTTCAAAGCTTTATGGTGCTGTTTGGGGCTCAGGTTGATCTGCTGGGTCAAATCCTAAATAAAATTAAAATGGGTATAATTAGTTGTATTACTTTCTTCAATATGAGGTTAAATAAATCCCAATGAGTCTTAAATGTTTCCATAAGAAACCTCCTTCACATTGAAATCTGTAGAAATTTTCAAATATTTTTAAGGACTTTTTAATAAATACTCTCAGGAATGTCAATAAAATATAAGATTAAATATTTAAATCATAAAAGAATTTTAAATGTTATTGTTTCTTTCTCCCTCATGGTATCTAAGTCTTACCTCTTTTTCAAAGATATGTTCTGAATTTAAGATTCCTAAAAGATTCTATGAAACAGGAGCAAAGGGGCTTGATTTTACCTATTTAACATTTGGGGGGAAATGCTCTGTGCCAGACACGCAGCTCAACGTAACAAAATGAAAGACCAGCCCTTCAATGTCAACATTTTTTTTGTTGTTGTTAAGAGGTTAGTTCAGGGTAGTTGCTTTCTAAATATTTATTGTTGAATATCTAACAAATGTATATGAAGTTTCTGAATCACATAAGTGAGTTCTTTCTTTATTCTTCTGAGACTAATAAATTATACAGCTGTTGTTCCCTGGGAGGCAGTCAGGGTCAGTAAGTCTATGGAACTATATAGATAGCTTTGTGATTATAAAGTCATTAGGTAACTGGGAGTTGTAAGGAAGGAACCTTGACCCACATATTAAAAGCACAAGTATCAGAAGGTAAACAAAAAAGAAACTCCTACGTGAATTTAAGCATCACTTCAGATACTATATGACAGTGGTTCTCAACCTTCTGGACCTTTAAATACAGTTCCTCATGTTGTGACCCAACCATAAAATTATTTTCATTGCTACTTCATAACTGTAATGTTGCTACTGTTATGAATTGTAATGTAAATATCTGATATGCAGGATGGTCTTAGGCGACCCCTATGAAAGGGTCGTTCGACCGCCAAAGGGGTCGCGACCCATAGGTTGAGAACCGCTGCTTTATGATGTTACTAAAAATAGATGTGGCATCTGAGAAAAACAAGGTCCCAGGATAAGACAGACATGGATTGGCAAAGGGAGGCAGCGGAGTATCTCAAGTGTGGGAAGCCCCAGGAGTCACAGAGTGTGGAGGTGAAGCACTCAGAGTCTGGACTCATCTTTGCTCCTATTTCCTATAGAAACTGAGCCTAACACTTCCAGGATACTCCCAGGCCCCACAAGATAAACTTCTGTCCTTTTACCTCATCCTCTGACTTGCTGACTTTTTCCTACATTATCTCCTCCATCCCTTCAAATAAATTGAAGGTTTATAGAAATGTTTTAAAAAAATGTAGTGCTCCCAAAGAATCTCATTTATGATCAAATGACCAGTTTGTAGTCATCTATCTGTTTGGTAAGAGTGAATTATGTTTCCTTTTTACCTTATTTCTGGTCACTCTACTGTTCTGATAACCTTCAAAAGGAAGCTCTGATTGGCTTTTCCAGTGTGCGAGAAGGGAGATGGATGGATCATGTTTTACAGAGAGGAAAACTGAAGCTTGGAAGAATGAACCCGCCCAGGTAAAGATGCAAGCCTAGCACAGTTCTAGCTCAATCTGTCCTGAAAGGGTCCCACTCAAAGCGGGCCTTTCTCACCTTCATGGCCCTGAAGTCCTTCTTCATCCGCTCGGGGATCCCAGTCATGAAGGAAAGCTCAGGCAGCAGCAGGATCTCACCTTTCAGCAGCTGTGAGTAGAGGACGGAGAGGGAAAGTGAGGCAGGAAAAGAGGATCCTGTTCTCGGGCCTGTACAGGACATGCATCCCGAGTGCTGGCCCTGCAGGGCTCTCACTGGCAAACTGAAGAATATAAAACCCCAAAGGGCAGTGAAACACTCTAAGTACTTTACCCTTTTACCTTCAGTCACAATACTCATAGCTGTTGTATTAGGTAAAGGGAAAAATATTGAAAGTGTCAAAAGGAGAGCAAGAACTAGAAAAAAAAAAATTTTGACCCTCTTGAGCTTCCAGACAACACATTCTATCAAGCTGGTGCCTCCATCTTATCTTAGCCTGTCAACCTTCAGCACTCACACTTAAAACAGAAGAGTCAGGTGTCAAGGCATTTTGCTCTGGCCCCAGCCCTCTTAAAATGTCTAAAACTTTCCTAATGAATCCAGTGTTTTAATCTTCTTTTGCAACAAATTCTCCTGATTGCATAATCTAATTAGCTCATATGAATATTCAACTTCTCATGTAAATCTCAAATGCAAATCCTATGGAGGTGGCAAGAAGACACAGACAAAACTCTGCAACAGCTTTCCCCAAGCACACTGTAACCATTGCTACTTGGCTCCTAGGGCTGTGGAGAAGCCAAAAGCGGCTGCTGATGGACACCTCCCACTCACCATCCCTTGGTTATTCTGTCTCTCACTGGGCCTGTGGATCAACAGTGGCTGGTCCTCTTCCTTAATTGTAATCCCATAGTTTTTGCTACAGGACAAAAGCAGGAAAAAATTTCAGAAGCAGTATCACTACTCTTATAGTAACATAATCTGAGTCTCTTAAAACCAGGACTGAGGTACAAATTTGCCTAATACTCTTGTCAAGGGCCCATTGGAAACTCATCATAGCATATTTATATAACTGGAAAAAGCAGGTTCAAATTATTGTTGCAATTAAACAGAGGAGAAACAGGCTAATGGTCAAGGAAAGACTGTTTAAAACTGCATCAGGTTAAAGGGCTTAGGCAACTAGAAAGGCAAAATGATAGTCGAATGATTAATGACTTGCATTTAATCTCTCCAAGCAGACTTCTAACCAAACCAGCAAAGGAAATACAATCCAAACCCATGAGATTAATTTATGAAGTAATTTCCAAAAGTACTAAAAGGAATGAAAACTGTAAGGGTTGCCTATTCAGGTCGAGTCCCACAAAGGAGTTAATTCATTCTTATGCGCATTACCAATATAATTATTTTAAAAGTGTCCCATTGTATGCCACTATGGAACTCAATATCCTGCTACAGAATGGCAGACTATGTCCCTGCCCAACCACGCCCGGTCTATTCTCTCTACCTGTAGTATTCCAAGAACGTGATCTCCTTCCCATCAGACATTGTGAAGCTATCTTTTGGAGTCTTATTCCAATCGACATCATCAATCCGATAGGTACGGTTGTTGTATCGGGTTATGACAATATTGCCAACCAGAAGCTTGGTGCACTCATCCTGGAAGTTTTCTTTGTTCTGCTGATACATGGCATGCCTTTGGAAAGAAACAAAAGATGTTTGGATGACTTTTGTATACACAAAGCAATATGAAAGGGATTGGTGATACAAATAAGTACTTTAGAGGTACACTCACAGCTATATAGCACCAAAAGGCTCCAGTTGTCTCTTTAAAGAGATAGGAACTCAACTCTTTTCTTTTTAACATTACAAAAACAAACAAACAAATAAAAACAATCAACAAAAAATAGCGAAAGGATAAAAATCAATTAAAAAACAGCAACTACAAATGAATAAAATTCACTGTATTCTTAAAACAGGCGGGGAATGCCCAGCCTGCAGGCTGTATAAGGCCCAAGAAATCACTTGGTCAGGCCCTACCAAGGCATCAGGGGTGATTTAATTAAATATTTGACCAAATTCAGCAGGCTAACTGTTAAATTGATAGTTTTGTATGGCCCGTGAATGATGTTATAAATATCCAAATGGCCCATGGCAAAAAAAAGGTTCCCCACCCCTGCCTTAAAATAAGATACTTAAGACATCAAAATAATCATTCTTATGTATCATCATTATTAGGGACAATAAAACATTTTTTAAACTATATTTGTCCTTCTAGCTGAAGGAAGAAACTATAGTATCTGGTGAAGATGCTAAAGATGCGGAGATGAAAAGACTCACCATAACAAATGTACCCTTGCGGTAATCTCTCTAATGGTGCTGTAGGCAAGGCCACACAGGAAATTTGCAGAAAGCATGTCTGAATATGCCCAGGGAGTCAGGAGAGTTTACAGAGGCAGCTGATACCTGCGGGAGCAATGTGCTAGGCAGAACCACCAGGACAGAGGTGTGAGTGACACTCCAGGCAGAGGCAGTGGTGTGTAGAGGCAATCAGGGATCTGCGACAGGGGAGAGTGAGTAGGTGAAAGAGGGACAGAAGATGCTAAGTGTAGGTTACAGACAGGCAGGGTCCAAATATGAATTCTCTTGTAAGTCAAGGAGCAGAGAATGGACTTTTTTCTGTGGGCCAGTGTCACCAGGGTGTGTATATTCCTCAGGAACACTAGTCCCTTGAGAGGTCATGAGGTTCCACAATCAAATAAGTTGAGTCCATTCTGCATCTTATAACCCCCTTTTTTTGAGTCACAATATATATTAACAGATCAGGTCGCTAAAGGAGAGAAACATATTTAGTTTCATTTACCTCCTATGAAAAAATCTTTTATTTTCTAGTTCATCAAAGGAAGTTGCAAAATTTGTACACAGAACCTCACATATGGAATTGGTACAACATTGTTAACTAGGCTGATAGACTTTATTCAGTGTTTGCCGTTTTGTTTTGCATACACTGATTTGTGTATATAGTCCTATGCAATTTTATCTCCTTTATACGTTTATGTAGCTACTACCACAATCAGTCACAAAACTGTTCCATATCAACATAAAGCAACTATTTCATGTTACCCCATTACAGTCACATCCCTTCCCCTTCTCTGCCCCCTGGCACAAACAAACTGTTCTAACTGTTCTCTATCTCTATAGTTTTATCATTTTGAGAATGCTATATAATGGAACATCATGCAACCTTTGGGACTGACATTGTTCACTACACATAATGACCATGAGACCCACCCAGGATGTTGTAGCGATCGATAGTTTATTTGTTTTGATTGCTAAGCTGTATTCCATTGTATGGAGGTACCAGAGTTTGTTTAACCATCACTTGTTGAAGGATGCTTTGGTTATTTCCATGTTTTGCTATTGCAAATAATGCTGCTATGAACATTTGTGTACCAGTTTTTGTGTGAATCTAAATTTTCATTTCTCTGGGGAAAATGCCCGAGTGTGTGACTCCATTAAGTACATGCTTCATATTATAAGAAACTGCCAAAAATATTCTCTGGAGTGGCAGAACCATTTTATATCCTACTCATAGTATACAAGGAGCACTTTCCCTACCTCCTTACCAACGTTTGATATTTTCACTATATCTTTTTTTTTTTTTAACAGAGAGGAAGGGGGAGGGATAGAGAGTTAGAAACATCGATCAGCTGCCTCTTGCACACCTCCTATTGGGGATGTGCCCGCAACCAAGGTACATGCCCTTGACCGGAATCGAACCCGGGACCCTTCAGTCTGCAGGCCGACGCTCTATCCACTGAGCCCAACCAGTCAGGGCCGCTATATCTTATTTTAGTTACTCTAATAGGTGTGCACAACTCACATTTCCCTAATGGCTAATGATGTTAAACGTCTTTCACATACTTATTTACCTTCTAAATCATTCTTTGATAAAAATATCTTTAGCCCATTTTCTTAATAGATAGTTATTTTCTTTCATCTTTACTATGATTTTGCTGGTGTTACATGTTCATTATAAAATAATAAAAAATAAAAATAAAAGCACAATCATAAAACATAGAAATTGAACATAGTTTGTAATCCATTCTTCACAGAGAACTACTTTCCTTTCCTTAAATTGTGAATACTAGTAATTGGAAAAAGAAATATATAATCATGTCAGATACACTGTTTTGCTCCTTTTTAAAATATTCGTACTGGAGAATATGTTTATTGATTTTTTTAGAAAGGAAAGGGGGAAGGGGCGGGGGAGAGAGAGAAACATCAGTGTGAGAAAAATCTATTGGTTGCTTCCAGTAAGCAACCCGACCAGGGATTGAACCCACAACCTAGGTATATGCCTTGACCAGTACTCGAGCCCACCACCTTTTTTGGGGGTGTATGGGATGACACTCCAGCCATGTTTGTTTTGTAACTTATTTTTAACTTAACAATATCCTTTGGATAGTCTTTCGTGTTAGTACAAATACATAAGGTTCTTAGAACAACTACTTTCAAATAAGTCATTTTTCATCCCAAAGAACTACAATTTGCCAGTGTTGGTTTTGAGTTATGAAGACAATCTAGTACTGGAAAAACCTATGAATATACCAATGTAATAATGATCATAAAAAATTAAAAATGAAAAAAAAATTTAAAAATGTAGTAATGACGTTATAGTTATGTTTTTAAATGAAAGTTAGCGCTCAACCACTGAGCCACGCAGGCTGGGCAACAAATTAGAATTTAAAACTCAAAAAAATAAAACACAATCCAGTCTTGCTACAGTATATTATCTGAAATGTTTAGTTTTCAATCACAAACTATTAGATATACAAAGAAATGGGCAAGTGTAACCAATAATCATGGGGGGAAAAAAGTCAATAAAAACTTATCCTGAAGGGTTCAGATACTGAACTTCACACATAAAGAATTCAAAGCAGCAATTATAAATAAGTTCAAATAATCAAAGGAAAATATGATGATGACGAATCAACATATATGGAATCTTAATAAAGTCATAGAAACTAAAAAGCAAAACAAAACAAGTAGAAATTACAGAATTTGAAAGTACAACCAAAATGAAAAACTGGTACAATGAGCCTGCCAGCAAATTTGAAAATGGCAAAAATAATCACAGACATAAAGATAAATCAATAGAGGGTATCCAATCCACAAGAGAGAGAGAAAAAAAGACTAAAGACAAAGTCTCAAAGTCCTGTGAGACAATATGGAGAGGTTTATTGCTTTAGCTCTTACATTTAGGTTTGTGATCCATTTGAGTTAACTTTTATGGAAGATATGAGATAACAGTCTAGGTTCATTTTGTTGTATATGCATGTCCAATGATCACAAAACTACTCCTTTCTTAGTGATTTACCTTGACACCTTTGTCATAAATGTGTGGGTTCTTTCTTTCTCATATAATTTTAAGCTATAAATTTCCCTCTGACCACTGCATTAGCTATAGTCCCTGATTTCTTGGTATACTAGCTTTTGTTTCCTTTCAATTCAAGTTATTTTCTGATTTCCCTTGTGCTTTTTCTTTAGATTATTTAGAGTGTGCTGTTTAACTTCCAAATATTTGGAGATTTCCTCTTTTTCTCTGGTTTCTAGTCTTATTCTAATGTGATTGGAGAACATATTCTGTATTACTGCATTTCTGACCTCCAGGAAGATAACTGCTCTTTTGTGGTTTCCAGTGGTTCTTAAGAACATAAAGGGCACAGGGGAAGACAGGTGGCAGAACCCCAAATCTGTAACAGTTGCAAGGGTACAAGGGAGGACTAAAACACAGAACTCTACACCTGACAGTGGGGCTACCCACTCTATGCCCAAGTGCTTGAGCTCTGCAGGAGGACTAAGGATCAGGGTGTCAAACACCCCAGGGTTCGTGTGTTTGACATAATGGGACGATGCCTGACATAGGACTTCTTACTATTTTGGAGAACGGGTGCTCAAAGCTTTATCTAATTTTATTTCGACAATCTAAGCAATATAATTGGGGAGGGGGGAGAAGATGACATTGACAAAATAAATAGCATTGGAATGTAGAATGAGGAGAATTTGAAGTTGCATTAGTAATAAGTATATATATAATTATGTACTTAGAAAATGGAAATATAATATTTATATCCAAGATAAACAATTGTGCAGAAAACAAAAATAATCATAGTATATAATACATAGTTCACACATTTATATACACACACACACACACACACACACACACATAGAGGCCCAGTGCACAAAAATTTGTGCACTCGGGGGGAAGGGGGGGTCCCTCAGCCCGGCCTGTGCCCTCTAGCAGTCTGGGACCCCTCGGGAGATAACGACCTGCTGGCTTAGGCCTGCTCCTGGGTGGCAGAGGGCAGGCCCAATCCCTGGTCGGGCTCAGAGCAGGGCCGATTGGGGGGTTGGGGCACCACCACGTCATACTCAAGGCAGGGTCGATGGGGAGGTTGCAGCGCGACCCGTCATGCACAGAGCAGGGCCAATCCGGGGGTTGGGGCACTGCCCCCTGTCACACACAGAGCAGGACCCATCAGGGGGGTTGGGGCTCCGTACCCTGTCATGCACAGAGCAGGGCCCATCAGGGGGTTGAGGAGCTCCCCCGTCACTCGCAGAGTAGGTCTGATAGGGGAGTTGGGGCACCGTCCCCTGTCACACACAGAGTAGGGCGGATCAGTGGGTTGG